TTTTGCTCTTTCTTCCTGCCCAGAGAACCACGTGACGGAGCACACAGCGGAGAGCTACATGCTGCAGTGGCAGCGCGGTCATCTCAGCAACTACCAGTATCTCCTCCACCTCAACAACCTGGCCGACCGCAGCTGCAACGACCTCTCCCAGTACCCCGTCTTCCCCTGGGTGGTCGCCGACTACAGCAGCGCTCAGCTCGGTGGGTCAGCGGGCCTCGTCCTAACAGCTCCCTTTGAAATATGCTGTGTGCTGGCGTTCATTGTCAGAACTCTTGTTTCCCAGACATGACGAACGCCGCCTCGTTCAGAGACCTGAGCAAACCGGTGGGAGCCCTGAACAAAGAGCGACTGGACAGACTGCTGGTGAGGCTGTAGGGTTTGCTGATGTTTCTGTTTCTCTCTACTGAGGAGCTCTTCGTTAACCACAGAGCTGTTCTCTCGTCCACAGGCTCGCTACAGAGGCATGCCCGAACCTCGCTTCTTGTACGGAAGTCACTACTCCTCACCGGGCTACGTCCTGTTTTACCTGGTCAGAGTCGGTACGTCGCTTCACAGCCACAGCATGTACACAACTACAATCTACAGTTATACAACCTACGACCAGGCAGCGTCGTTACTGAGCTTGTTACAGAAATACTTCAATTGAAGAAACCAGCTTCCACTTCAGAGCTGGTGCCACAATCTGGAGCTTGATTTTACACAATTAAAGACTGTCGGCTATAAATCGATGCAGAAAAGGCACAAATTCATAATTCAGTGTTTATAGAAAAATTCACCAAAATGCAAGAAATTAATGTTTTGATGCTCAAATTTCTTAAGACGCCGGCTTAATGTTTGTATTAAATCTACTCCCATCGGCTGCTACACCTAGAAGTCCACTCAGAGAACACAGACCTTCATCCTTCAGTTTTAGAGAAATTTAAATGCTCTTTCTTTGATTTTCATTCAGTGTGTTTATACGTAGTAGATCGTGTACTGTAAGAACACCGTCACTGTTTGGTCACATCAACACTAAGCCGTAAAACAACAAGTCCTCACGCAAATTTCATTATGATCATTGTGCTTGTGAAATTCATACGTGCAAATATTCTTAATTTTTGTGTTCTTAGCATCCTTGTGTTTTTCTGTTTTTCTTATTTACATCGTATATATAGTGCACGTGCCTCGCCTCTTTAATTTATAGTTGTGTTTGTTTGCTTTTCTTATCGTCACTTTGCTGCTGTGACGTTGCAGATTTTCCCCTCGTGGGACTAATAAAGGATATTCTGTTCTATTCTAAAGTCACAGAGGAGCAGATGTTTTAAAATTATAGACAAAAATGCAAGATTTTGAAGGAAGTTGTGTAAATATTACCACAGAAAAATATACAGTCAAAGGTTTTAGGTGTAATATTATAATTTGGAATGAAGATAATCAATTATATGAATTGAAATAACAAATAAAAAAGCCTTTAATGGAATCTTTTTATTGTACTGAAACTACAGCAAACAGAAAATGTTTTGTAGGTTCTAGTAATAGAAAATCAGTTCATACAAACCAGGCTTTATAGATTTTTTTTTCCAGACACTGTTTTATTTAATCGTTAACTGCCGTCTTGTCTTCAGCTCCAGAGCACATGCTGTGTCTCCAGAACGGCCGCTACGACCACGCCGATCGCATGTTCAACAGGTACCTCCGAATCTACAGTCTACAAATGAGTTTAAGTAAAAGAACCAGAACGCTTCATTACATGTAAAAGTCATGCACGACTCTCACACATCTGGAACATGACTGAGAAGTTTAGAAATGTTAGAAACCGTCAATTAAATCTTTGTGTGTGAATCTGATGTGTGTTAAACTCTTGTTATGTAAAATCTTCATATTAAAAGTAAGTAATTTGTCACATAAACACAGTGGAGTAGGAAATACTCAAGTATAATTGCGAGTTACTTCTACTTTAAGTACAATACCAGAATACAGAATCTGAATACAGTGCTGTGTTTAATCTGTTCCACCAGTTTGTACTGTATGACTCCTTCATTGCATTCATGTGTTTTTAAGGTCGTGTTTTGAACTTTAAAGACAGAAAATCAGATTTTATTGGTACTTACTGACTTACTCTTGGTATTTCTTACAGCGTAGGTGAAACATGGAAGAACTGCTTAGAGGGAGCAACAGACTTCAAAGAGGTAAACACATCGGTTTTCACATTTTCATGATAAAGCAACGATGTCATCAATACGATCAAATAAAAGACGTCCACACTGTGAGCATACGACTTGTTCGTGCCGTCTGCAGAGAGTCTTGATTCTTTGATTTTCTTCAAATGCAGTTAATTCCAGAGTTTTACGGGCACGACTCCAGCTTCCTGGAAAACAGGCTGAGTCTTGATCTGGGCCAGAAGCAGAATGGAAACCTGGTTGATGGCGTCGTTCTCCCACCGTGGGCCTCAGGTGAACTGTTTATGGATTATCTGTGTGTTCCACGCTGTCATATGTGAAGAGCTCAGTCTGATGTATGTGCTCCTGTCTTCGTCCTTCCTCCAGACGCCGGTGACTTTCTTCAGAAGCACAAGGCGGCGCTGGAGAGTCAGTATGTGTCGGAGCACCTTCACGAGTGGATCGACCTGGTGTTTGGCTTCAAACAGAGAGGCAGTGAAGCTGTGGCGGCTCAGAACGGTAACGGCATCTGCTTTCAACATCAAATGCACCCAAACTGGGCAGCAACTTACATTAATGTCCCTGTTTTCCAGTGTTTCACCCGCTAACCTACGAAGGCGGCATCGACTGCGACAGGTAGTAAAGAAAGTCCTTCAGCAGTTCCTTTATCCTAACGTGTCCGCTGCATTTGCCAACCTAACTCTGGCCTCCGTCTCTCTGGGAAGCATCGAGGACACTGACCAGAGGATCGCCATGCTGACGCAGATCCTGGAGTTCGGCCAGACGCCCAAACAGCTGTTCACCAGCCCGCACCCGCAGAGGATCACGCCGAGGTTTCAGAACATCACTCGGAGCCCCAGCATCAACTCACCGGCCAGCGACATGTCTCCAGGTAACGGAGGATGCAATGAAAGGTTGCTCTTTCACATTCAAGGAGCTGATAATATGATTAGTTATCTCGCGATTTTAAAACAATCGGGATCTTTGCTGCTCACAGACAAACAAATGACACTGACAACATACGTCTTTCTTGACAAAGAGTTCCCTAAATGTTTGTGCAGAGTGACAAGAAAACAAAGCAGTAAAAAGTAGTTGACAGTCGTTGCGGTATCTGATGTGAAAAGTGATCCAATCTGTGCCTCAAAAGCCAGTTTTACGTTCTGTGGCACCCCCAATTTAAATTGCAAAACAGCATTAACATAAGTAGCGACCACAAACATCCAACACGCACCACATCTACGACTCCTACAAACCCCTACAGTAGCCGCCTTTGTGTTGTTTCGCAGCCTCTCCGACTGAGGATTCGTCCTTCGAAGACCTGACTGAGGAGAGCAGGAAGTTGGCCTGGACCAACATAGGAAGTCTCAAATCCATTTCCAGCCACAAGATCCATAAAGAGTGAGTCAGGAGCCGCCCGTTTAATTGCATTGCTGTTCCACATAAAACAGAAATGAAAGCTGTGGTTCAAACATGAGGAAGTGCGTGCAGCGTAAGACAGACAGCTGCAGTAAACTTGTGTAGAGTTTTGAAAGTATCATCATAAGTCAGATTCCTGCTTGCTGTTTTAAAACCATAAAAGATCTGCAGAGCACTTAGTGACGCAGCGTCGCTTTCTCTTGTTTCCGTAGATTTATGAAGCATGTCCAAATCACCTCGCAACTGTTTTATAACAGTCTGTCTGCTACATTAACCTAAATGCATCCATTCTTTCTATACATTTATGCTTGTGTTGCGTTGTGTTCCTGCTAAATGTGCAGAGCTGTTACCGGCATCGCTGTGACGCGAGACGGAGCTGCAATCTTCTCCACGTCCCAAGGTTTGGAAAAAGTTTAAACAAATGTAGACTCCTGTATGGATCCAAAAAGAAAAGTACCAACTGTTGAGATGTTTTAATGCATCAAAATGTATGTAAAGTCTATTTAAAGACCTGATGGATGAACATAGTGATACCAGAGCTATTCTAATCCAGTTACAGATTTCACCTGAGCTGCTTATCCTTACGTAGATATACTACAGAGAGGTTTGATTGTCAGTCCTGCTCCATAATGCAGCTTTTTAAATGACTTTATGAGATGTGTCAGAGATTTATTTGTGCTCTCGATGTGATTTTGTGAAATATTTCATTTATATGTTTAACTACTGAGTTGAAATGTGTTCAGCTTCCACTCTGTTTGTGGTCTCATTGATTAAAGTTTCCCGTCAGCAGCAGCACAGCGTACATTTTTACAAGAGAACAAACAGCAGATTGATTCAAAGCACCGATTACAGTTAACCTGAAATGACCACGGTTTTGTTTAAAACTCGGCTGTGTCCGTCTTCATTCCAGACTCAACGCTTAAAATGTTCTCCAAGGAGCTGAAGGACTTCCAGAGGAGCATGTCCTTCTCTAACATGGTACCTACCTGTGTTTACTCCAGTTCATCTTCTCTTTTTGGATTTCTGTTTCTTGCTCCTACTCTACCTGAACAACAAACCTTGTGTTTCCCAGGCGCTGTCGTCGTGCCTGATGCTGGCGGACGGTAAAACGGTGGTGTGTTCGTCGTGGGACAACAACGTGTACGTATTTGTGCAAAGTGTTTCTCAGGCAGATGTCGGCGGCTTCTCGCTGATCTAGAACCTTCTTCCCTTCCAGTTATTTCTACTCCGTCCCGTACGGCCGGCGGCAGGACACGCTGATGGGCCACGACGACGCCGTCAGCGACATGTGCTGGTTCGACGACCGACTCTACACGGCGTCCTGGGATTCCACTGTTAAGGTAAATATACATAAATCTTAAAGAGGCAAGTCTACAATATGTTGTTGCTGTCAACAAAACACGGATCAACCTTTACAGTTTGACAGAGACGTAGGACCAGTGTGTTGTGTTTCTTTAATTCACAGGTGTGGCAGTGTGCTTCTGACAGCTTGTCCAGTCACAAGAGGTCCCAGTTTGAGCTGCTGGCTGAGTTGGAGCACGACGCCGGGGTGAGTGAGGACGTCCTGGAAGCTTCCATCACCAACATAACAACTACCGTAAATCCTGGACTATAAGCCGCTACTTTTTTCACACGCTTTGAACACTGCGGCTTAAACAACGATGCGGCTAATTTATGAATGTTTACGAATTTGCCTCGAGACCAAAGCGACATTGAGAGCGACGACAGAGAGACGGAGGAAGTGTGTGACGAAGTAATTCTGAGGCTGAAGAAGACGACTTTAGTGGTTTTAGTGCAGGAGGAAGATGAAGTTTTAAACTTTTCCTGGTCGGCTGCGGCAGTTTTTATTTTCTTAACCAGCCGTGTTACAACGTGGACATCTGCAGCTTGTAGACAAGTGCGGCCTGCATATGTACAAAACTCTTTTTAAAGTCAGTGGGTGCTGCTTATATTCAGGTGCGCTCATAGTCTGGAATTTACGGTACATATATATTTAAACCATTTATCCAAATGTGCAGTTTATGATTTCAGTGACTGTAGCTGATAAACCCGTGTGCATGATTTCATGTTGTAAAGAGTGGTTGAGACTTTATAAACACCAGAAATTACACTGAAGTTTGACAGAACTGGAGACGAACTTCTCCTCTCTCATGCAGGTGAACACCGTCGCTCTGAATCCGGCCGGGACTCTGCTGGTGTCCGGCTGCAAAGACGGGACGGTCACCATCTGGGACACCGGCAGCTACGGAGCTCTGCAGCAGGTCCACTGCCACGACGGAACCATCCACCACGCGTCCTTCAGTCCTGGTACGTGTGAACAGCAGTCCTGATTTTTATGCACTAAAGTCGAACTTTATCTGCATCTTCAGCCCTTCCAGGTCCGACGGTGCTGCAGAGAAACTCTAATGAAATACTTATGAGACTGTCTTTCAGCTGCAGGAGAAAAAAAGTCACAGAAAGGTCGATCCAGAGCACAATATTTGTTTCGGCCTTGTTCTTTATTGTTTTCTCGCTTTAACGCTGTGTTGTGAAGCAGCCAGCAGCTGTTTGATGTATTCCTCCGTATGGATCAACAGTAGAGAGAAACTCTAGTAGGGGGTTTATTTTCTGGCAGCACATTATACCTCATAGACCCGAGTTTATTGTCCAAAGAACATAACTGTGTCTCTATAAACCTTATAAAAACCGAGGGTATATGAGTGGATACCAGCTGGAACTTTTCTCTGTTTTTTTTTCTTTTTATCTCCCACAAAGCAGCTGAACTGAGAAATTACATCACCGTAAAATATATGTGGGGGATCTGAAAGTGCATTTAAGAGATCAGAGCTTGAGTTTCTGAGGAGGAAACTCACAGAGGTCCTGCCAGGCTAAAGAACCGATCCGATTTCTGTATCCTCAGATAGCCGACATGTCCTCAGCGTCGGCGCCGACTCCTGCATGAAGGTTATCGACGTCCAGACGGGAATGGTGATGTCATCTGTGAAAGCTGAGGAGGAGCAGAGGTAAGAGGCTCCTCAGAAAGCCTGAGAGCCATGTAGTAGATGTTTAGTCAGTTCTAACAGACCTTGATTTTCTTCTTTTTCCAAGTTGGTGCATTGGAATTTAAAAACTTTCCTTTCAGACAAACCCTGACCTGCTGGTGTTGAGCTCGTCTTGTGTTGTTTGGGATTTCTGTTCCTAGTTTTAGCTCTAATCTCAGCCTATGAAATGTCTCCTTGTTGGCTGATTTTGAGCCTCTGTGTGGATGCAGGTGTTTCTGCTGGGACGGGAGCTCTGTGCTGTGTGGAGGTCAGTCTGGTGATCTCGTTCTGTGGGACCTGCTCAGCAACACAGTCACCCAGAGGATCCCTGCACACTCAGGTAAACCTTTATTTTCTATTTATTAGGGATGATAATTAAGAATATTAACAAAAAACAAAAAACACAGCCCTTGTGTTTGGATAGAAAGACTAAATCTAACTCACACCGAGCCCCCTAGAGGGTTGGATGTTTTTTGAAGACTGCTCTTGTGTTGGTTCACATGTTCTCTGCTCCATTTAAAGAGCTGGTGTGTGGTCCTGTTATAGCACAATGCCAATGTTAGGGAACACTATGCAGAAAGAAGAGATAATGCACCACTTGATGCTCACTTGAGGCCGCCGTCCTGCTGCTCTGCCGGGCTGTGATCTTGAAGTTGTGACTGTATATGTGGTTGCTGCTTAGACTTTAGCTGCAGAAATACTTATTAGTTTATTTAGGAGTTCAGGAGCAGCAAAGCTACAACTGAACACACACACACACACTAGTGCTGCATGTGTTCAGTGTTAAAACCGTAAAAAACGACTTGTGGTCGTCACAACGGCATGAGCTGCACGTATGATTAGAAACGGGCAACACACTGGCTGCAGAAACACAGCGTCTGACTGCAGCTTTGGGAACAAATGCATCACAAATATGGCCGTGAAACATTATTCTTAATGCTTCTAACATTGACTACATGCAGAAGTAGTTTGGGTGCACTGATAACTTTGCTGCTCCAATATTCCTGAACTCCTAAATAAACACATGCATCTGTCACAGAAGCACCGTGGTGTTCAGTAGCAGCTAAAGTCCAACCAATAACCACATCCAGCCACAGCTTCACCATCACAGCAGGCCGAGCAGCTGGACTCACAACCAGCAGCTGGACACTGACGCAGACTGGAGTTTGAAAATGGCTGATAATCCATAAACGCATCCCGTAAAGTGTCGCATCATCTCTCCTCTCTGTAGCATCTGTGGAGGGCTTCTTTAAATCAGCAGCAAGTGAACAGAACCGACACACAGATCGTTCACGGCTTCGTATAACTCAGGCGATAAAGTTTAAAAAGGAGGTTGTCCCTGATATTAGTTTATAGCACTGATGTTTAGAGCTGTTAGATCAGTTTGAGAGTGCCTTTAAAAAAACACGTTATTTGGCCTTATTCACGGATTCAAGGAACTTTATTTGTCTTGCCAGCTCACATTCATGTGTTTGTGGTACGAAATTAGTACTTAGGTCCCGTTTGTTTTTTAAAGAAAAAGCCTAATAAATAATAAGTACAATAAAACAAGAGCAAAATTTAAGTAAAAATACAGCCATATAGCCCAAATGAGTTATGTCTGGCACTAAACATTAGTGTAGCAGTGAGGTAGATGTAATTTTGCACTTGGTTGGTTCTATATAATATTATAATCATCGTGTTGTTGTTGTTTGCACAGGCGCCGTCACGGCCATGTGGATGAGCGAGCTGTGCACCACGGTGATCACAGGCGGAGAAGACAGACAGATGATCCTCTGGAAGCTCCAGAGTTAAAGGAGGAGCCCCCTTCAGAATCCTGCTGCTGCTCAGAGGAAGACTTCCAGTGCAATTTCCCGGACCGCACAGGCCCAGCACCCTGCCGGCTACGTGACGCCACCACCGGACTTTGACTCGTGAAACAGTCGTGAAGCGTCCGAGTCGTGCTGTAAATACACAGTGTTGTGGAGGAGTCGGTGGGGGCGACGACAACAACTGTTCTTAATCCAAAAACTAAACGCAAAAGGTCACGTGCAGTCATGTTAGTCAGAATCTGCTTCTTGAGAGAAAAAGTCCAAGCGCAGGTTTGTGCATGAGAGCAGGAAGCTGAAACTGTGTCCTCGCCTTATTTTACGCTTCTGTTTTAAGCTTGTTGTACGTGTGTGTGGGCTTCACCCCGTGTTACCTCCCTTACACCCTGTTAAAGTCTAAAGCGGGTACAGCTAATGGATGGATGGACCTTAATTTACTTTTTTTTTTTTTTTAATTAGCATTCATATTTGTATCGCTTCATGTGTGTTTTATTGTTTGAAGTGAACCGTCAGAGCTTTGTACTGCTCAGGTGTTATTACAAAAGCACAGTTACCTCTAAAAACCTGTCCCGCCTCTTTTTTTTTTTTTTTGGTGTCAGATTTCTGGAGAGTGTTTTTCTGAGCTGCACGTTATGTAGACGTAAAGATGGCTGTACAGAGTTTGCAGTTTGTAAAGAACAGAGA